ACAACGTTAGCTATCTGAAGAAAATCGCATGTGAGGCATTTTCCTGATTGTTCTTTTTTCAGAGCAATGCACTGAGCAACGGCCAGATTGCAATCTGTTACTTTCTTAACCGCTGTGAGTCAAGGAGAGGGCACTTAGTTCAGTGTGTCTATGAATGCCTCAATGTCCCGACCACAAACTGTGTTATAAATAACAATGATGAGTTTTGGAGATAAAGAACTAAAATCACAATAAAGTAACTTGTGAAAATAGTTTTTTTAACATAGCCAAACTGCCCTGTCATACTATTGAAAAAGATGTTGAGCAAGCGGCGCAGTGGTATGATGATGAGCTCCGTCGCCTTTAGCAAGAAAATATGTTGTCTGGATCTGAATTGTGTACAGAAGTGTGTGGAGTTTGTTTGTTCACCCCATACATTCAGTGGCTTTCACTACTCACCAAGTACTTCCTTTAAAATGTCTAAAAACCTGGATGCTGAGTTGTTTGGTCCTAACTACAGAGCTGAGACCAGAGCAGCGACCTGACCAGGATGCTCCCTGATGACAGCTCAGACAGGCTCAGGCTCATCCTCCCCAAAGAGAACAAAGGCGGGAATGAAAAATTAATGAAGGATTTTCAGCCTCAAGGAAGTATGGGTTTGACCAAATTCAGCATAGTTTTACTTTCAAAATTAGAATTAATCATGAAATAGACACAAATGACTTCCATGTTTGACATTGTCAGGTGGCAGACGCTCACTGGGTTAAGATGCACTGCAGATAAAATTTACAAGACGCTTGCGGTCTCATTTCAGACGTTACACTCATAAAAATATATATGTAACTGATGTCTGTCACTGTCTGTTGAAAAATATATCACGAACTGATTTAAAAAAAAACTTGCAGCAAGTAATGACTGATGATGAATGATGTACATCTAAGGTTAAGAATCAATTTAATTCAAAGTGGCTCCCAAAGCTGGTCAGTCTTAACAAACAAACAACAACAAAAAAGAATAGAACTCAATCACTTTTAGATATTGAACCAAAAATTTGTGGTAGTAGCTGAGAGTGATCTCTAACACACACTCGGTGCATTACACAAAGCACAAGATTGTTGTTTAAAACTTTTAGAGTCAGCTCTATTCAAGATGGCTGCGACAGGCAATCAGTCTTGTTCCGACTCTCAGTTTTACAGATATGGAGCTAGCATTTGCTGAGGTGGTAGGCAAGGCTCATTCCCAACACAGATCATGGGACTTCTTGTATTATTGAGTATGACTGCACAAAAAAATAATGTTTAAGATTGTAGCAATAAAAGACTAAAACAGCATGTTTTAGTTTAAAACTCTAGCATGAAAGTTAGAAGTTGAAATCAATTTCTTGAAGGAAAGAAAAGCCTTTAAGCTTTTTATTTTTTACTGTACTAACTTGACCCTACGGAACCCGTCCGGTGACATGGAATAAAAAAATAATTATCAAGTGGCCACGAGACATTAATGTGTGCCCACGCAATGACTCAATGTGCACGTGATAAACACGTACCCACGAGATAATTAACACGTGCCCTCGAGATAATTAACGTTTTCGCATGAGATAATTGGCCTGTGTGGTAGCCACCACATAGCTAACTATTGTCGTCATTTCCGTGCAGACTGTTCATTGTTAACATGGACAAGTCTGAATTAAACTAATTAATTTTTAATATAATTAATTATGTTGCTGCATCAGCACCTTACGTTAGGCATGAAGCTATTTCTTAGCTTTATGTGCAGCAGCTGTAAGTCCCAGGTGACAACTGGAGTTGTGTATTTGTCGGAAAAGCTTTATTTATTTCTCTGCGGCGGGGGGGCTGGCCGTGCGGCCTGGTGCAGCCCGGGCTGGGCCTCGGCTGTCTACTGCTCTCCACCTCAGAATGATTAGGTCTACCCCCTGGGTTTGGGTGTGTGCTGCCTCCAGTAGGGGGTGGATGCATGTCCTGGACCTGGACCTGGTGGGTATAGAGTGTGTATCGGGGGTATGAGTGGAATGTGGTGTCCTTGTTTGTCTTTGAATGAGTGGGGGTGAGGATGAGGGTGGGATGTTGCGATTGTGTATGTGTATGTTTGGGTATTTGTCAGGCTGGGGTCTGGGGTGCGGATCTTCCCGTGCGGGTGCCCCTTGGGGCTCTGCGCTTGGGATTCCTCTCGGGTCCTTGGGCTCTGGTCTTCCCTATGTCTGCCTCGTGTCTTGGGGGTTGGGTCTCGGTCCTCCACAGTCACTATTAAATATTCCATTGGAGAAATCTTGTGTATACACGCATGTTCACAACTGCTCACAAACAGGTGTTCTGATCCGGGGGGTTCTGACTGGTCACTGAGTGTGTATATATGTCTGTATATACTGACAATATTTATGAATGTAGACATGTATGTATGTATATCTTTATATATGGGTATGTGTATGTATTTAAATATGCCCTCCATGTATTTATCCATTTATTTTTCAGGTGAGCGGACAGATGTTGGGTGTGTGGTCCTGTGTTTTGTTGGTGTATATTTAATATACTTCTAATCTCTATTTCAATCTTTCTAATTACTCTCTCTTTGTTCACTTTCTCTCTTTGTTTTTCCCTCTTTTTCTATTTTCTCTTTACTTAAAAAAATCACTGATGATGAAGAAATTAAGAAACTAATATTAAGTTCTTTTTTCTACTGAAGTGATAAAAAAGGAAAAGCTTTATTTGCTTTTTTTGAAGCTCAACTTTCAAAACAGCCTCCTGTCCCTCTTCGCCTCTGCTGTGGGAGGAGCTATGTTGCGTTCAGGAACACAGTAAAAAAAGGTCTGTTTCCCGACACAATTCATTGTCATTTCATAAATAGCCTACTATGAAAGATAATCCATTTATATTGACATACACCAAATAATATAATAATAATAATAATAATAATAATAATAATAATAATAATAATAATAATATAATAATAATAATAATAATAATGAATGGTAAGAAATGGCTTGAACTTATATAACGCCTTATCAAGTCCACTTGGACCCCAAGGCGCTTTACATTTCAGACATTCACCCACGCACACACACATTCACACGCTGATGTTGATAAGCTACATTGTAGCCACAGCTGCCCTGGGGCACACTGACAGGGGCGGGGCTGCCATGCACTGGCGCCACCGGTGATAATAATAGTAATAATAATAATGTGTGTGCATATTTAAACAGTTAAAGATTAAACAATGCAGGCTATAAGTAATCTGATGCCAATAATGTCTGTCTCTCACAACAAGCCCATTGCTGGCCACATTAATTATCTTGTGCGCACAAGTTAATTATCATTTGCGCACACATTAGTCATTGCGTGGTTATTTTTTCGTGGCCACGTGATAATTTTTTAAAATCCATGTCGCTCCACATGACACCATATTTCATTGTATTTTTCATTCTATTTTTCTTTTTTATTTTTAAAATGTAGAGCTTTTGTAACTTTTAGGGGGAAAATAAAATACTTAATAGTCTTTAAATTTTTTGGCTCTTGATCGCATTTGATATGAAACCAGGATTTGTGTGTTTGTTATGCCTTTTTACTCCGTACACTGTTTTATTCTCAACTTTTTAAAAGACTAAAAACCCTTTGAAATATCTTAATTTGGATCTATTTGTACGCACACAAAGATCCCAGTACTTCTGTTTGAAACAAATTGTAAAGCAGCAGTTCTTTACTTGCTATATGTTTCTGAGTGTGTTTGCTCACATGAGTGACTCTATCCCTGTAACACTTCCACACACAGATGTATTTAAGCCCCGCCCCTCTGGTTTCAGTCAGGGTGTGATTACCAATACAATCTTGGTCAACCTGCTTTTGAGAAAAAGAGAGAGAGAGAGAGAGAGAGAGAGAGAGAGAGAGAGAGAGAGAGAGAG